AAATTGTTTTGATATTGTTCCGAGCGATCCAATGACTATCGGAACTACCATGGTCTTCATCCTCCACAGTCTTTCTATTTCTATTCTGAGGTCCTGGTACTTGTCAATTTTTTCCATTTCCTTTTGATCAATTTTATGGTCCATACTGAGGCACCGAGAAGTCAATCAGTTTCGCCTTCTTCTTGCTCTTATCTACGACTATGATGTCCGGTCTTCTTGCTGCAATCTTCTTATCCGTGTAAACATTAAAATCCCATAGGATCTTGACCTTTTCGTTTTCCACTACTTTCTCTAGTTCGTGGTCCCACCAATTATCTACAGTGCACTGTCTTTGGTGTTTCCTACATAGGCCAATGGATCGTTCTTGCCACTTTGTCATGTCGGTCCTTGTACTCTCTCAATGTTCCATAGAATTTCATGTTTGCTGACATATTCTTTCAGGAAAAGTTCCTCTCTTACAGTGTCCTCTACGGTCTCAAGTCCTCTTCACCCATAGATATTGGAAGATAGATGCGATCTATATCAGCACGGGGATGTAACCCTCAATGCATGGTTACTCAGTTTACGCGTCTATCTGTCTAGAGAGTGGAGTTCTTCGTTTGTCCAATTTGCTATTTCAGCTGTGTATCTTATTACTGAAACCGCATAGGCCTTAATGGCGGAAATCTCGTTTTTTCCTGATAACTTTGACTTAAGAACCAGTCTTAATCTCCTTTTGTATTCGTAGTTGGACGAATATCTATAGTGATCATCACCGTCCAAGTCCTTTATCTGCTAACCATAGAGTAGCTTTATCCGATCCCTCTTCACCACCTTTCCTCTTCTTACTCCTACTCTGGCGCACTTCTCTACCCCGAATGTCATCCCAATGTCTGCACTAAATATTCGTACAGAGTGTAGTAGCGACTCCATTTCTTTCTCGTTCTTCCCATAGAGCTTCATATCATCCATGTATAACAAATGATTCAGTAGATTACCATCGTTCAGCTTGTAGCCTTTCTTTGTGTTGTTCAGTATGGATCTCAATGGTATGAGACATATGATGAACAGTAACGGTGACATCGAATCTCCCTGGAATATTCCACGCTTTATTTCAGAATGACCACATGATTCTCCGTCTAAGCTTAGTTCAGTCCTCCACTGCGACATTGCTCTCTTCATGAATCCTACGATCTATGGCTGAGCCTTGATGTTTTCAAGGGAGGTGATTATCCAGCTGAGGTACAGAGTCATATGCCTTTGTGTAGTCTACCCACACCATTTCCAAGTTCTTTTGCTTTCTCTTTGCACTTAGCAGAACTGCTTTGTCGATGAGTTACTATTATTATTTATTATTATTATTATTTATTATTATTATTATTATTATTATTATTATTATTATTTATTATTATTATTTATTATTATTATTTAATAATATAAAAAAACGAAAAAAAGAGAGAGAGAGAGAGAGAGAAAGCGTTGCATGCATGTATACACGAAGATGATAAAGGATTCCAAAATTAGTTTATTATCACAAACACTTTTACTGAATACAATTAAACAAGATAGCTGCAATTCATTCAATCATAAACACATTTACTTGTAAAAACTCATTAATTATGGATAGGTTTTCTTTCTAGCTGGAGATATGCAAATTAAGGTGTTAAAAAACTTTATGTTTCATAAACAGGTGATCGATTATGTGAGGCACCGTATGGATTTGATAATCGTGTCATGACATGCGAGCAGTGTTATAGAGACATTCCAGAAAAGAAGTTGCATGATAGACTAGTTGCATGACTCTCTTCTAAGATTACAGTATATACATTCCCTACCCTACCCTCCCCGTGGGAAATTTTCCTTCGGAGAGCTACTAGATAAGGGTGCTAAGAAGCGGCGCCAGTACTGACATTTGGCAACAATGTCAGTCTTGTATTACCAGAAACGGCCACCAGTTATGATTGTTTTTATTGTCGTGCTTTATCAGGTTCTATTGATAGTTTGGTCATGGTCGCTTTCCTCGAATGGTTATGTTATCGAAGTGTATACCACAGTCCGGTTTGTACGCTTCGTGATAATCAAGCAACATCAATTAGCATTATCGCTGGAGTCATTTCGATACGTGCACAAGTTAACGTTCTTATATTACAAAGCCTTCTTTCCCATACTTTTGCTTGATTTTCTTACTTTTAATTGTCTTAATCTTTCTTTCTTCATTTCGCGATCTTATCTTTTGTCATTGTTTCCTTTCTTTTATTCATTCTATTTTTCTTCTTCTTCTTCTTTTTCTTTTTTCTTTTTGCCCCATCCCCCCTTGTTTTCATTTTATTTTCATTTTTTTAGTTTTTTTGATTTGCGCTAGAAAAGCGATGAAAGATTCGGCATTTTTATCGGAACACCAAGGCCCATTATGAAGGAAATAATGGACGGGCGGGCTCACGTGTATAAACCTTGCTTACAGCATGTTCACAGCATCCTTTGCTCTTTTAGGAAACCCCTTACGTGAACGCAGACGTTGAATACCGGAAGAAAAAAAAGCACGTCACTAACTAAGGTCAACGCTTTTCTTTTTATTTCATAGTTTTTGCTTTACAAAAACATCGACAAACCATCTTTTGAAAAACCTGAGACGTGACTCGTCAAGCTACGAACCACGCTGCGATAATAGAATGCCACTCAACCGTGTCCCCGATTAGGTCTTTACATGCTCCCTGCCAATCACAGGACGTTTTCATGTGCTAATTGAACACGTGATCTAAACTTGTCAATCATTGCGACATCCGGGAATTCTAAACTGTGCGCAGGCAAGTTTCATGGAGGGAAAGCTATGAAACGAGAAATGTTTTGGCCACTTTCGGCCTTAGTTTTGGCCTTTTCACTTTCAGGTGAGTGGTACTTAATTGCTGATACTCTAAAAGGTCCGGTGTGTCAACGTGAAGCGTCGGCTCTACGTTTTGTGCTGTTTTTTTCGAGCCGCAGTTGCGATATTTAGTCACTGACTTTACACTATTGAAACACATTTACTCGATGGTTCGTTGAGGTTTCGTAAATAAGAAATTTCGTTGGTTAATATTATGTTGATGGTTGTGATATTTGTATGTAATGTTCAGTGCTGGTTGCAGAATGTTTGGATGTCTTTGTAAGCATTTCTGTACTTCGAAACGCCGTGACATGAGGTAGAAATAACTTGAACCGTCGCTGTTGTTTACATGTTTTATGCCTGATACGATCTTCGAATTCATCTCTATTCTGCTCTTCAAAATCTTAAAAAATTTACGAAATACAACTGTGCTGTCGTTGTTGAYCCATTAAGGTAGAACTCTGCTTTTCCTGACCCCATTTCACCTGGAGAACGAGATGGTGAAATTCCCCAGTAAGTCCTCCGTGTCTAACACACCTCAATTCCCGATGAGCGAGCGACCCTCGATAAGTTGTATCACTTTAAAAAGCGCGTAAATGGTTTTCTTCATAAGCCCTTCAAATTCCTTGCCTCCTACAAGCGATCGCCCTTTCTACGACAGTTAACGGGACCAGTTAGGGCATTTCCGCGGAGAATCGATCTTTATGGATTTGAAGGTCAAACTATTTCTTAGATCCGTAGAAGGCTATTGTCCGTAGTTCAGTGTACAACAGAGTGATCACAAGCTTCGTATCGTGAGGCTGTAATCATGGAGGCTGATCTCTTCAAGTGGTCAAATCTTGCTATCGAATTGGGAATTTTCCATTACTGTCCTTCTCTTGCCATAAAACATAAGCGATTGATAGTTTTGTTTGTTTTCTCTTGGCTTTGGTAGTGTCCACAAATAACATTTGGTCCTGTTGTGATCGCCCAATGTGCAAATTACACACTCACTCAATGTTGCATTCGAATCAAACATTAGTCTCATTTTCTGCATACAATTTGCTAGCATTTTAATACCTTAAAAGCTAAATAAATGATATTTTGGTTATCTAGTTTGACCTCCTATCCATAACTACAAGTTTCTTTCTAACCCAGCATGCAAGTCTTCTCGGGGCTTCGCCAACATGAAGTAATTCTGTTTACTTTTGCCTTCATGTCAAATCGATCACTACGATCTGATGTTTCGAATATGCTTTGAGATTATTATGTGAAGGTATTGTTGTGAGCGAAAGTCGATAGAACAACACTTTGCTTGTGTGGTCTCGGTCGTTCCACGTGCTAAACGAACTCTCGGCAAATACTGTCGATTGTATGACCTTACTCTTTCTTGGCAAAAAGGATTCCGTGAGCGCTATGTTGATGTAGCTTCTGTTTTTTCCATAAATTAGGCCGAATACCTCCCACTGAAATAAAGTATATCTACAAATTCATTCATTAACTGCAGAGTTTCAGCATGTACGTAAATTCGTACAAAAGCCGAGGGCGAAAGTCGTTTCATCGTTGGGGTTAAACATTAAATGGTGTTGTTCTCTCGTATTTAACTTGGCTGAGAAGGGTCACGT